TTGGAAGAAAATGGTAATTTAAGACATTATTATAAATCCAAAAAGTCTTCCGGTATTCGTGTTATTTTTCCTGCCGCTCGGAAATGCTTCCGTTATGTAACCATCAACACTGATGGGCATGAAATTACATTTCAAGCTGATACAGCCTCCAACATATCAGTCTTATCGCTGAAAACTTGGGGAGCTATTGGATCACCCTAGTTACTGGAAGCAAGGATTCAAGCATTAAATGCTTCTGGGGAGAGAATGCAATTTCGAGGGCAATTCAACTGTACTTTCAGTTTCAAGAGAAAAAGTACAAAAGCGCAATGCTTTGTCACTAGGGAGTTGAATCTCCTTGGAGCAGAACAAATTGAGAAGTTCGGGATTTATTCAGTGATGGACCAACTTCCAAGCTGTTTCTTTGCAGGGTCAGCAAACAGGATAGCACCGGCGAAGCAAAAGCTCCTATCACCACACGAAGAGGTTGTGCGAATTTTTCGCAACAAATTCCCATATATATACGAGCCAAGTTTGGGGAGGTACATCAAATCAAAGGCAATTTTGCGTTTGAAAAATGGTGCAAGACCCGTCTTCAAGCTTAAACGTCCGATACCGTACACGGCACTGCCACAGATAGATGCGGAATTAGATAACTTGAAGGAGTAGTCAGTAAAACAGATTTTCCAGCGTGGGCAGCTCCAATTGTAGTGATGAAAAAGGCAAACGGAAAGCTCAGGTTATGCGCAGATTACTCAACTGGTTTAACTCCGGGAGTACACTACCTACAATGATGATCATCGTTATTATCAACGTTCGCGTTTTTATCACTGCCATCATCATTATTATTTTTGGTGGGATTAAATTTTTGATTCCAGACAGTGTGCTGTTGCTATTGCTCCACATTAGCGTCCAGGACGGGAGGAGACAAGCCGAACAAACAATTGTTTTGAATTTTTAATGTATATATGCAAAAAATACGTCAAGTGTGATTATGCCCATGTATATATGTGTATGTTCATGCGATTATATGGCCGTCTAATTGAACTGTTAGTTTTTTGTTTGGCCGCGCTAATAGATTGCCGTTAGCGAGGTTATATAAGCTAACGGCTCCTACAGGCCGGGTTCTTCATTC